CGACCTCTGCGTACAGGCCGTGGTACGTCAGGCTCCCCTCGTACGCCTGCATGATGACGTTGTGGTGATCAAGCCACGCATCGTCCACTTGGTTCCACAAGTGACCCAGCTCCGGCGCCTGCTTCAGGATCTCCGCCTCGGCTGTCGCGAGTGCATCCTTGACGGACAGCGTGGGCTTGACCGTGAAGCTGACGTCACCCAGCACACTCGCGATGTCCGCCTGCAGTTTCTGCAGCCCCGCCGGGTAGTAGAGGAAGAGCCCGTCGTGCTCGAAGGCACAGACCGACGCCTCCGGGTCCTCCTCGACCTTGTTGACGACGCGGTCCACGAGCTCCCTCTCGGTCGCCGTGTTGAGGGCGTACTGGAGGAACTCCACGGGCCTTGCTGTCATCTGCCGGAGTTTGCCCAGCTCCCCCTTGTGCGAGCCGCAGTCCTTCTTGCGGCCCTCTGACATCTCCTTCGCAAACCTGTGAGCGAACTCCTCCCGCGCAAAGGCCGCGATCTTGTGCTCCGCCTTCCAGGCCTTGACAGAGCCGCCGTAGAGCAGGCGCAGATAAAGCTGCTTCGCGATCCACCGCTCTGCGTGGGTCTCCGAGAGCACGGCGTCCCGGTGGTCGATATACTCCCTGAGAGCTGACCCAGCATCGGCGCCCCACCTCTTTGCGGAGATGGCCAGGTGCGCGTTGACCAAGTCGAAGACGAAGTGGTTGGGGAGCCCCGCTCTGAAGACGTCTCTCAGCCAGCACGGCTGTGCGAAGACACTCGTCCGCACATGCGCGGACACAAGTCCGCCGTCGGGCTGCGACGAGGTGTCCTCCTCCTCGTCGTCCTTCTTCTTCTTCTTGATGACCGGGCAGAACCCGCTGTATCGTCTCCCCTTCATCTGGATCTCCATCATCTTGCTCTCCTCCCGGTAGGTCGTGTAGAAGCAGCGCGCTCCCGACAGCATGCCTCTGCCACATTGCTTCAAGATGTCCCCGGCGATCCTCAGCAGCGTGGGGCCTGCTCCGTTTGCCGTCCTGAAGACCTTGCTCAGCACACGCTTGCCGATCTCCTTTACGGCCTCGGGGTTGACGCGGTCAAAGAGGACCTGGGGGAGGTTGGCGGTGTGGTGCATCTCCGCCTCCTCATCCATGTGGTCATTGGACTTCACTGCCTCGTCCGCTCCCTTGTCGCGCACGAAGTCCTCTGCTGCCGCGACCCCTGCGTTCGCCTCGCGCTCTCTCTTCAAGGCCTCTTCGGTCCAATCCGGCGAATCTTCCGGAGGGTCCTCGTTGAAGAAAACCTCCGCCGGAACCTCCCTCGTCAGCGACGCCAGTCCTCCGATCGGGAGGTCGCGCCAGCCGCTCTGCCCGAAGACCTTCAGCATCGTCCACAGCGCCGTGGGAGCCCTCGCGCCGTGCTTCTGCAACACGAACGTCCGGAGGAGGCCCGCAGCTTCATCCCCGCCGTCGGCCGCCGCCACCACCTCTTCCCACTGCGAGCCCGCCTTCTTCATGGGATCGGCCTGACAAAACGGGCATCGGGCGAGCAAAAAAAAAACGTGATCTCGCACACACACCCGGCCTCCTCCTCCGCGGCTTCTCCTTCGTTCGTAATCTCCATAAGGTCATCATCTTTCAAACTGTCCTAGCAAAAAAGGGAATAAAAAAGAACCACATGCTACCATTCCAAGCACCCCACCTGCTCCGCGGTCTCCTGCACAGGACCTTCCTCTTCCACTGGACCCTGAGTGCCGGGCCATACAACAGCAACAGAGAAACTCTAAAGAAGACGCCCCTGCCTCTGGAACTCCCTCGTCCGCCTGCTCAGGGGCCTCCTCCTCAACTGGACCCTGAGCGCCGGGCCGTACACCCGTAAACAAAAAAAACCCCGAAGAAGACGCCCCCTGCCTCCGGGACCTCTTCGTCAGCCTGCTCAGGGGCCTCCTCCTCGACTGGATCCTGAGCGCCGGGCCGCACACCAGTAAACAAATCCCCAAATACGCCCCCCTAGTGCCTCCGGAATCTCCTCGTCAGCCTGTTCAGGGCCCCCTGCCGTCTCCACCTGAACGAAGGGGGTCTGGCGCTGTAAACAAACGCACAGGAAAATCACACGACAGACCGGCCTTCTCCGGGCCGACGTGCACACTCGTGATGTCCGCGATTGGGCAGCTTGAGCGACCGTTGAGGGGCGGATGCCAAAACACAGTGTCACCCTCAACGAACCCCGCTTCGACCGTCCCTTCAGGCAGCCCAACGTACGTCGTGCGATCCAGTTCGATCACATTGCGCAGCGCCTCCTCAAGGTGACCCTTCCGGGCTCCTCGCCCTCGCGGAACCAGTAGCCCGCGATCTCGATCACCTGCGAAGCATGCGGGCACTGAGCGACTTTAATCCTACGTACACACCCGTCGCCTCCGGTTGCTCCACACGGTCGGCCCCTGAGCTCGCCGCTGCCGAGGCCTCGATTGGACAAAACCCCGCGACTGCAGACTTAAAGCTTGCCTTAGACTTGCCTCGTGGCGATCTCCGCCCTCGCTGTCTGTAGGCTCCTATGAACGACACACACCGCACTCAGTGGCAGCTATCACCCCTCGACCCAAGCCTTCTTCACAAACCTATCCAGGGCACCGAAGGAAGCCCCGGCGTGTTTCAGAATCCTCTTCATGGCCTGCAGTCACCGGGGCGGTGGCCAAGGCAACAGCGGAATCTGAGGCGCGGACGGCAGAAGAAGCCGAAGAAAAGGAACACCTGCAACCGCGAGTAGGGCTTGTGTGGGGGGGCGTGAAATGGCGTGAGAGCAGACTACAAAAACCGAGACCAAGGCAGTGCCCGACCACTCGAAATGTGGTCCTCAGGACACCTGGGTCATCCGAAATCCGAACAAGAAAACCCTTAAGTGCAAAAAGCTTGAGGCCCAGACGACGAATTGAAGGACAAGTGGCAAGTACCTGACAGAGAGCGCGAGGGAAAAAAAAACGGGCTAGGGGTCTACACTTGGAGCGCGCCTTCCCGGTTCAAAAGGGGAAGCCCTCGCCACCCCCCCAGAACGAAAAACAGAAGCAAATACATGCTGCGGCACAACAGCCATGATCAAAACCTACGCGGCACAACGGTGGAACATGTCGACATGACGCTCACACGCAGACTGGCTCCGACCTGTTTTAAAAACCAACCGCGAACTGCTCGGCCGAAGTTACGGATCTACTTTTGCCCTTTTGGCAGCCCATGCTCCACCGGCCGCTGCAGCGGCCGCCGTCGCCTCCGCCGCGGGCTTCTCCTTGGTTTTGTCCTCCTTCTTCTCGCCTTCGGCCTTGGACTTGTTGTCCTTCTTCTCGCCCCCGGCCTTGGGTTTGTCGTCCTTCTTCTCGCCCGCCGCCTTGTCCTCCTCCTCCATCGCCTTCTGTTCTAGGAGGCCCAAAATGAAGCGACTCTTGGCCTCCACCTCCTCCAACTTCCCCTCTCTGGCCCAATGCTCTCGGTGCCGCCGAACCAAGGCCTGGAAAAAAAGCTCATCATCATCGCTCATGTTCGGCTATTGTTCTGCTGCTAATGTTGCTATGTATGTGTGCTGCCTCCGTGCTGCAATGCAAAAAGGCATGTTGCTTCCGAGCTGTCTCCGAGGAGCGAGCGCG